AATGAAATAAATTAGACACACATGTGTAAATACTGCATTGTCATCTAGTGTGAGAAACTGAAAGAGTAAATAAGGACCAAAACATATATTAAGAAATAGTGAGAAATTGTTCAAAAAGAAAAAAGAACCAAAGAAATGGGAGAGGGAAAGGAAGGAAGAGAAAAAATGAATAAAATGATACAACAAGGATAAAATGGAAACAAAACTTTGTAAATTAGGAGGTAAAATGGGTTGAAGGAATGTGAGGGGATTGGGAAAAAGGAGGAATCAAGATACATTATGTACAGATAGAAATTCTCTAGGATAAAGATAATAATTATGCATATCTAAATTGTACCAATAAACCACAGAGAATAAAAATTTTTTAAAAACACAAAAGATACTGGTGAGAATTTATGGCATATGGAACACTTATTCACGTGGGTAGGAATGTAAATTCATACATTCACTGTGAAATCAGTAGTGAGGTTCCCTTAGAAACACAAAACAACTAAAAATAGAGTGACCATATGATGTAGGTATAGCATTCTGTGATAACGTTGGTCAATCAAAGTCAATGTACAGTAGACATAGTTTCATACTAATACTAATACTAATACTAATACTAATACTAATAGCACTAGTCATGCAAGCTAGTTGTGGAATCAGCCTAGATGCCCATCAGTGGATGAATGCATAGAGAAAAAGTGATATATATTGTCTTATCTACCTTTCATTGCTACACAGAATACCAAACACCCACAGGTTAGAGGAGGAACGGCTCATTTCAGCTGATCGTTTGCAGAGAATTCAGTCCAAAGCCAGCCAACAGGGTAGCAAAGCATGATGGAGGGTTATGCAGAGGAGAAACATCTCATGGCGTGACAGGCAGAAGCCAGAAAGCAGAAGCAGCAGCAGCAACAGCAGCAGCAGCACCCTGGCTTCTGTCTCTGCCTTTATATTCTACCCATACCACAGGCCTATTGGTTGGTACCACCAATACCCAAGGTGGAGTTTACATTATGCATGCCCAGAACTGTGCTAATTCCAATCAGTGGGCTGATTTAGTGCCACACTCTGATTTCCAGTGTCACAACCCCAGATCCTCTGAGTGCATGAGGCCTTGGAGGGGACATCTTGGTATAAGCCATAACATATATAAACACTGAGGTATTATTTAATTATAAAGGAAAAGTCATGTCATTTGCAGGAAAATTGATGGAATTAGAAATCATAAATCTAAGTAAAGCAAGTCAGACATCAAAAAGAAACACATCACATTTCTTGTCTCGTATGTGATCATGGTAGACAAGGTATGATTCCGGCAGTTACAGGTGCTGAATAGAACAGCTTGGTGTCAAGGAGAAAAATTGGGAAGATGAATGTGACCAATGCATAAATATCACAATGAAGTCCACGTGCTTTATTCTTTGAAAAAATAAAATTTTATAGCAAAATAAAAAGAGGATAAAAGTCAATAAACTATGATTATCTTCAGAGTAGTACTCAGAGATTGAAGAGATTTTCACCAGGAAGAACTATCAGATAATAGCGTGAACCATTCTTTTCATCGTTGTAAAGGAAACTAGTGGTGTGAATAAAATGAATCAGCATGTTAAAATATTTTTGATACAGTGGGGTTTAGGGAACTGCTTTAACTGCTCCCTACTTTCTATTTACCCTCCTTTTATCTTGTTCTCTATTTGCATAAGATGTGGTATTTCATCTTGTGTGTCTGACTTATTTGACTTAACATTATATTCTCGTTTTATCTATTTACCTATGTGTGCCTCAAATTTATCTTTCTGTGTCAGAGTAAAACCCTATCATGTAGAAACACCATGTTTTCCTTATTCATCTATCTGTCTATGGACATACACACTATTTCAAGATCTCACTATTGTAATTGTATTGATATAAACATGGGTATGCGTGTATCCCTGTAATATGATGATTCTAACTTTTTAGAGAAAACACTGAAGAAGGCAATAGTTGGGTAATATGGAAGTTGTGCTTGTAGCTTTTAGAGAAATCTTTACGGTGATTTTCTTAGGGATTGTACTAGTTTACATTCCCATTAAAATGTAGCAGTGTTCCTTTCCCCCTTATTCTCACAGCCTGTTATTATTAGATTTTGATGATAGCCATTGTCTTGGGGGTATCTCAATATAGTGTTGATTTTCCTTTTTGCAGTAATCAATAATGTTGAACAATTTTTTGTATGGATTGACAGATATACGTGTCTTGAAAATTGTGTATTTATTTTGTTTGACTAGTTTTGATTGAGTCTTTTATATGGGGTTGCCTAATTTTTTGAGTTCGTTCTACGTTCTAAGTGTAGCTTTCTGTCAGAGATAATTGGAAATTTTTCCAATTCTGTAGGCTGTCTCTTTGTTTTGTTGGTTGGTTCCTTTGCTGCAGAAGCTTTTTATTTTCATATGATTCCATCTTGCTGATTCTCAGTATTATTTCTATTGCTATTGGAATTCTTTTCAGATAGTCCTTTCTTTTTTCAATTTTTTTTATTTTAAAAAGATTAAGACAAAAGAGGACATAATACAGCAGATCAGAACAGAACAATTTAAGCAACACAGTATTTCACCATAAGACAACTGGAGATAATAGTAGCTACCATAATGTCTCTTTCTTTAAAATACTTGAGCATATCTTCATATAAAATACTATCAAACATGACAAAATAGTATAAAACCATTCGAGAGAATGAAAGTATTACAGGGCATTCAGAACCAAATAACAGAAAACGAACAATGGCTACTATATTATCTCATTGTCCATAAAAATTTTTTATACTAATCATACATAATAAAATCCAATAAGATACAACATGATAGAACAATGGAAACAGAAAAATGAAAGTATGGTAGGATTTCAAAACAAGATGATATTAAATCAGCACTGGCTATTATAATGTCTTGTTTTCTTCAAAATAGTTCTTCATACCATCACAGATAATAAAATCAAACAAACCAGGATAAAACCATTCCAACTAATGAAGGCAAACATTATAAGGCTTCAAAGCAATGTGATGCGGAATCATGATTTCCATAAAGTTTTATATACTGTTTGCGTTTCTTAAACTAGGGAGATGATATGGTATTTGTACATGTGAGCTTGATTTATTTCACATATGAGTATGGTCTCAAGTTGCATCCATTTATTTATAAATATCTCAATGTGATCATTCTTTATAGCTGAGTAGTACTCCATTGTATAAAAATACAACTTTTTTATGTGTTCTTCAGTTGATGGACAGTTAGGTTGTTTCCCAGATCTGGCTATTACAAATTGTGCTGCTATAAACATCGGTGCACATATATCACTGTGGTATGATGTTTTCAGTTCTTCTGGGAATATGCTCAGAAATGGAATAGCTGGGTTAAAAGAGACTTCTAATCCCAGAATCTCCAGACTGACCTCCAAAGTGGTTGCACCAGTCTACACTCCCACCAACAGTGCAGGAGAGTTCCTTTTTCCCTACAGCCTCTCCAGCATTTGTTGTTGGTAGTTTTCTTGATCCTCAGGTAGTCCTTTCATAAACCTCTCTTTCTCTTTTTTTAAACAGTAATAGGTACCATAGTATATCTTGTTATCTTCACGGTAGTTGTCCATTCAATCAGTATAGCAAGATCAAACCAAGAACAGAACATTATAAAACCTATCAAAACAGAATTTCAAATAGAGCAACACAATTAATCAGAACAAGCACAACAGTGAAAAAAAATTTGCCTTCAAAGAGATGGTAGAAGGAATTCCCCTATGTTAGCTGTATTGCATATGGTTATCCTTCCAAGAGATGCTCAGACCTCTGGCTCCCAGTTGCTATAATGGGTGTGGGGGTGGGGCGGGGTGGAGTGGGATGTTTGATTCTCATCCCACACATCGGTAGGCTCATGGGAGAAGCTGACTGGTTCTCTACCAGGCTCTCCCACACCTTGCTTGAGACATGGCTGCTTACCAGGAAAGCAGGAGGGTTGCTTTCTTGCTCAGTGCCCTAAATTCCAACATGGCTGCATCTGGGATAAGCCTCTCTTTCCAAGGATTATACCTAATTTGTCTCTAGTGGATTGTTTCTTTTTAAATATTTAATGTTTGACCCATTTTAATTTTAGTTTAGAACATTAAAACTACTGTTCTGTACAATTAATGAGTCATGATTGAAAGTTTCCTGCCCTAGTATAAATTACTGTACAATTATGGTGGTGGTCTAACAGGGCAGAAGACCAAAGTGGGAATGCTTACCATTTTCTGCTTCTTCTTCAGCCCTAATTGCAACTCCCTTTCCTGTTAGCGTGCAAAGAGAATTCCAATTGGTTCCTTACATGCCATCAATATCTGCCCCATGCACCACTTCAGATCAGAGGTCATATAAACTTCTGCCTCTCTGTGTCCAGTTGAAGGAGACAGCCCAACTGCCGTGGCTTGTGCACTCCTTTCCACATCCTCAATAAAACTTTTCTTTCTATTTTGTACATTTTGCTTCTCTATTGCACCAGAATACTCTAACAATGAGAATTACATTATGATGGAAGCATGGAAAGAGAAGGAAAAGTGGAAGGAAAAAGAATTAAATATCATGTTTCTCACCAGGCCTAAGATGTATGGACCATGCTGCTCATTTGTCTATAGAGAAAAGACACATATGAAGGTTTAAGTAGAGGCGAGTGGTTGTCTGTTAGACTAAAGATGATAGAATTTTTTGGTCCTCAGGATTTCCACCGTCATCTAAGTGTTGACCTTGAGAAGTGGGAGCTCTTTTTATGAACCCGTCGTTAATAATTTTTTTTGTCTTTTTCGTTTTTATCGAACTCATGACTGGGATTGAACTCATGACTGCCTGCTTGCAAGGCAGGTGCTTATGCAGCTGAGCTAAATCCCAGCTCCTATAGTTAATAATTTGGAAAAGCAGGCACAGTAAGCTGGTATTCACCAATGCACGCTGCGATTGCGCAGGAGGCAGACAGCACTCACCTGGCTTTTAAAGGCCTCAGCCCACCCCAGGATTATAGGATCCTCCTCCACGCTGCCTTCACATCCTTGTTTCTCAGGGTGTAGATGAGGGGGTTGAGCAGTGGGGTGACAACACAGTAGAATAAGGACATGAACTTGGCCTTGGAACTTTTGGCTGAAGGTTGGAAGTACAACAACATTGCTGGTCCAAAGTACAGGGTGACCACGAGCAGGTGGGAACTGCAGGTGCTGAGTGCCTTGCGTCTCCCTTCAGCTGAAGGCAGCTTCAGTACAGCTTGAGCAATAAAGATATAGGAGATGACTATCAGCACAAGAGGCACCATTCCAAATGGGATTGACAGCGATGTTAGTGCCAGCTCATTAGCAGTGGTGTCCCCACAGGCCAGTTTGATGAGTGCAGGAATCTCACAGAAGAAGTGGTCCAGGGTGTGGTGACCACAGAGGGGGAGCTGGAGGGTGAGTGTGGCTTGAAGCAGGGAATTGGCCAGGCCACTGGCCCAGCAGGCAGCTGCCATCTGCACACACACCCTGGGGTTCATGATGAGAGAGTACCTGAGGGGCCTGCAGATGGCCACATAACGATCAATGGCCATCATGGCCAGCAGGATGCATTCAGTGCAACTAGTGCAGCTGAAAATACAGACCTGTGCGATGCAGCCCCAGGCAGCAATTGTGTTGTCTGGTCCCCACATGTTGGCCAGCAGCTGGGGCACAATGTTGCAGGTGACACTGAGGTCCAGCAGAGAGAGGTTGTCCAAGAAGAAGTACATGGGCGTCTGGAGTCTGGGTTCCACCAGGGAGATGAAGATGATGGAGCTGTTCCCCAGAAGGGTGAGGAGGTAGGAGATCAGGACCACTGCAGAAAGGGGCATCTCCAGCCATGGAAACTCTGAGAAGCCCAGCAGGACAAAGGTGCTGGGAAAGGTAGCATTTTCCCTTTCCATGGCATCTGTGTCTAAGGCTAGAAAGAAAGGCACAGGCTCTGAGGAGAAATACAACTTTTTCCCTTTTTTGGTTAGTATATGTTTATGATACAGAGAAGCAAAGCCATTGGGCCATGCAGACGGGAAAACATAGCATCACCAAGACCGAGCCAGGGTCCCCTGAGGCCAGGGCTCGTGTCTCCTGCAGTGCTGCCCTAAGGATGGTCCAGTCTGCAGGATGAGAGCTGCAGGGACAGCGCCTCCTGGACATGCGCTGTGAAAGCACAGTCCACAGTCAGCTTCTGCTTTACACGCAGTTGCCCCTTTCAAAGAGGAACTTGGCTCTGGAATTAATGAAGAATCCTGAAAGCTTTCTTTGATCTCACGCGTATAACAAATGGAGTAAAAGGAAATTATTGGGAAAATCATGCATTGCTTTTGCTTTTAAGAAATAAAGCCCATACTGTGAAAGTTCTAAAGGGACCACACCAATTTGTTTTTGGTTTCTGCATGATTTAAAAAGTCTTGCTGAAACAGTATTTAACAATTGGATATTTTTTCTATTTTATAAATTAATTCATGAAAACATGAAACAGAAATTCATAACAAAGTAAGGGAATACTAATTGTCAGTACACAGTGCACCATTATCTTCAAGGAAGTCAGATGAGAAGTCACAGAGAGTAAAGATTCTTTCCTGCAAAGAAATCAGGTAGTGAGAAAAAGCTGTCTTTTCAGGGTGGTGCCCACAGGGTGTGGACTTGGGGTCTGGAGGTGGCTTCCCAGCAGCTCCTTGGGGATCTGGAGTTGTAAGTGACAGTCTTATGTTTGCATGAACACACTTTGGGAGCAGAGAGAAATGTGCTGTAAAATATTTCAGTACAAAAGCACACCAAAACTCCATGGAAGGTCAAGTTTTATAAATACATGTTATGTATTTTCAAACATTATTTTCTTTAATGCAGATCAATCACCTATATATCTATGCATATCTTTATACGTGAAATACCATATTCTGAGTGTGTATGCCCATGGTGGGGAGGTAACTGTAGCTAAGAACAATACGCATTATTCACACCATGGTCTTTTTGTCATCACGCTGAATACCCACTTTCTTAGTATGTTTCATGCCCCATGTGGGCACTGTCAATGTGATCATTCCCTGGCACTTCACAAAACAAATTAACAAGTGCATAAAATAAAATGAACAAAAACTTATATTATTATTTTTAATTTTCTTATTTATGTGGCCCTGTGTGCTCATTCCACACACACATATGTATTGTTGAATGACAAACTTAGAATTGTCAGCATTTCCAGGTCATGTTTGCCTGCCCTGGATGGGGTTTGCCTGTAACAGCTGTCCCACACTTGCACAAGTAGGTGCACAGGTGTTGGGCTACTCATAGCAGGACAGCTCACTTCTTCCCTCTCCTCCCTGGCAAAGGCAATCCTCCCGCTACCGCTCTTGTCCACTGCCTCCAGGATCACCCACACTCAGCCACCTCAGGGATGTGTGACTCCTCGTCCTGAAGTCCTGCCAGCGCCCTGAGTGAAATTTTAAGTTGTCTGAAGGCGTTTGTTGCCTTGCAGAAGGGCAGAGGTCTGTGCTTCTTTCCCACTGATTTTATCTCACAGCCGGGTTACCACTTGCTTCTCACTGGAGGCTCACTGTGTGCTGTGTCCCTGTCCCACACCTGGCCAGAAGTGTACACTTCTCCAGTTCTGCCTGTCTGTCTGTCTGTCTGTCTGTGTCTATCATTATATCATCTACATCTTTTTGTATTTTATCATCTGTCTACATCTACATTCACCTCCACCTCCACATCGGCATCCATCAGTCCTCCCTTGGGTCTGGAAAGCACTCTGATGATTGGGTATGGGGTCAAGGTCCGGCTGAGGAAGAGCATCTTGTGAGAGTGCTCGCTGTGGCTCCCTCCAGCTGTCAGGAGTAGTCCCTACTTGAGGAGAGGTGAGGAAGTCACCTTCAAAACTGGAGGAGACTTGAGGGTTAGCCCACATGGTCCTGAATAGCTGAGCCTCCCCTTGTTTACCTTGATGCAGAAGAAGAGGCAAAGTTGTAGAAAAGGAGGAGCCAGCAATGGACCACTTGGTCCTGAGTCAGAGATGCAGCTTCCTTCAAGGGTCTTGGGCTCAATCCATAGAGAGGTGTGGTGCTGAGTCCAGCCAGGAGCAGGGTTTGTTGAGATGAGACCTCCTGGGATTCCTGGGCTGGATGCTCTGAGATCTGATCTGCTCCAGGTTCCTAATGAGCTCTGGGCTGGGACTGTAGACAGGAGCGGTCCAGAGGGATTTGTGCTTCTTCTCATTAATTGTTTTGGAGTCGTCTTGCCCTGGAGTGCATGGCTGAGTGGTTGAAGGCTGGCCCCTGGTGCAATGAAGTTGTTGTTTATTGGACTGACATGGTCTCTAGATCCATGGTGCTCTGCCCTCCTAGCTCTTTAGCAAAGGTGGTACGGGGTCAGCCTGGTGCTGCCTGCAGGGGAAGTCTCCTCCAGCATTATGGTTTCCTGGTCATGTTTTAACCAGGCCCATCCCTTCTTCTGTCATCAGATGAATTACACAGTATGAGTGATATCAATGGAGAGAAATTTCTTGGCTCATTACATGTGAAGCCATGTACTTCAAACACAGACCTCACTTCAGTAGATAACTGAGAATCTCTATAGCTGCATGGATGCTTGCCGTGTGGTCCATGGCATCTTATAGTGTGTAGTGTTTTGTAATACTCTTTTCCTTTGAATGTATTTTTGTCACCTTGAAAACCCTCACATTGTTCTGGAGTCTACCACTGCTGTCATCTCTACTCCGAGTGAGCTGGAGGTGACACTGCCTGGCTTGGTTTAGCACAGTCATTGACTACGGTTAGGTTTCCGCAGAGAGGAGTGGAGATTAGCTGGTCAGGCCAAGCCCAGGGTCACTCATCTCGAGGTGTCCGCAGCTGAGTCTCAGCCCTGGTTGACATCTCCAGCTTTCTTCTGTGCCCATGCTTTGGTTGAACAGTAACACAATGCCAGCCACTGAGGAGGCTGCGGTTCCCCACTGCCTGCCCATCCTGGTGATACTAATGTGCATCTTTTGATCATGGATTGCCTCAGTGTGAAGTTGGTAAGGCTTTGGAGCTGACAGAGTGTGACTAATAATCTGTGAAGAGATGTGACAAAATTTCTTTGTGCACTTCACTCACTAGTCTCAGTGTCCTCTGATGATTCATTACTAAAATTATCTATTAGTTTGTTTACTGTATCATTTTCTATTCCTTCTTTTCTTCTATGTTTATCACTTTGCATCCTACTGTAAGATAGACCATTCAGTTCCCTATTCATTTTTATTTTTATTACTATGTAGCCACCTTGTTTACTTTATTCAATGTGTTATAATCTATTACTCTACTTTGATACACAAACTTTCCAGTGTTTAACAGCAGAATACATCCATCCTGATTTCTCTCTCCTGATAAAGGATCATTATTGTCCCCTCATCCCTCTGTGTTCCAACCTCAGATCTGCAGCCCCTTTTCCCATAATAACTTCTTTTTGTTGGATATGGGGTTTGGGAATCAAATTACAAATATAAGATATTTGTTCTGGGGCTCCTAGGTTATTTGTTACTCCTCTTAGGTGTGCTCAGTAAAGAGCTAGGACACACACACACACACACACACACACACACACACACACACGCACACACGCACACGACCTGTCTGTATCAGACTGTGTTTATTTTAAAACCCTGAGTATATTCTGACCCTCCCTGTAATAATCCAGAGCCTTAGTAGGTACTCTAGTCTCCCTTTACATTAGATTCCCTTTCCTATAATGAAAATTTAGGCTCCAGTAACATCTGTGCTCTTTTCCATTTGCTCGGTCTCGCAGAGTGAGGCTAATCCCTGCAACGGGAGTTTCCTCAATACTTCTGGCCAGGCTGGCTGTGGCCCAACACACGTGCCTCATGGCCCATTCTGGAAACTGTCCTGGCAGCCCCCAATCCCCAAACAGGTTAGGACCCCAGAGAAGCAGCTGCTGATTTCTTGGGAGACCAATAAGCTGACTTCTTATATGGAACATCAAAACTGCCATCCACAGGGGAAGCCATTGATGAACTGGACCATGTTAAAAAGTAAATATTGACCCCTCTCCCCCAACAATACTACAAGCATGAGAGAGGAAGCTCAATGTTAGAAAAAAGTGCCCTGAGAACACAAATTGATAAAGAGCTGTGAAACACAATATGTGAAACACTCCTGCAAATTGACAAAAGAGATGTGACAATCCAAAGAAAACTGAGGTGGTTATACCCTACCCTTTGTGCGGTGGAGGCCAGGGTCTGTCTGCTCACAGAATCGTACCTCCCACTCCACCTGATGTCATGGGGCTGCTTCCCCAAATCCCCTGGCCCTGGTGTCAGGTGCCACCCCAGCTTCTGCTGGCTAACCTTCTCCATGGATCAGGTTCTCCAGATGCCTGTGTCATGGGGCAGATCTTTCCTGGGAGATGAGTGTAGGAAGAGGAGCTTGTGTCCTATTTTAATAACTGATTTCATTAACATCCCCATGAGTGGATTCTGACTGTGTGATTGATGATAAAGTACATTTTACATCCAGTGACAATGGCATGAGAACCCCATGTGGAGAATACCATCTTGCTGTACAGTGTAATGGGACCAACTTAGATCCTTGTTTCCTAGAACCAGGAGAGCATCACCCACACCGTGAGTCTGTTTCTAGGGGACCCAGGTGTGAAGACAAGAACCTAGCTCAATGGTCCTTCATCATGATGTCCTGGGCATCAGCAAGAGGCCAATGTAGATGCCCAGGGCTGTACTCCCTGCCCCCAGGGCTCCTGAGCACGGGCTCTGAGCTGGCATAGGTCCTAAGAGTCTATAATCCTGATGTGGTAAAGTGATGCCCACCTGCTGGTCCCAGGACCACTCTTCAAGCCTGAAGGTTCTAAGTAATCATGGAGGGACAGATGGGACCACACTGAGGGTTCTGAACTCCAA